ACATTGTGTTCCTGTAACACAAAGTTCAATTCTCCTTTACTTCAATGGTAGTGGGTTTGTTTCACGAGAGACAGTACGAACTGGTGGGGGAGGGGCAGGCTCAGAGGGAGGAGGATAGAGATTAGGTTGCTGAGGAACAAAAGGTTGTTTGGTTCCTCCATCTCCTCCTCCTTTACCTCTGACATCAATCAACTGTGACAATGGTCTCCTCGGAGAATGACCTCTTGACGCTAGTCTGGGAGAAGCACCGGATAGTCCACCTAAACAAAAGTATATGTATCATCTGAACTGTACCAGGAGCCCATAATGAAAACTGTACATGTAATGAATGCATGTACATTGTACATTGTACATACATGTACATATGTAAGGTACATACACATGTATGTGTACTTATACCGTGGTGCGTGGGTGGTTACCATGGATCCTTTGCTGTTTAGCGGGAGTTTTATGCCCATAACCACCCTGCAGACAGTGTGGGTTTTCACAGTTTACACAAGAACAATACTGCAATGGTATCACAGCTTACATAAACGCCCTCGACCACTTATCTCGCGGGAGTTATGTACCCATAACCACCTCCAGACAGGGATGTATCCTACACATAAACAAAGAAATATGCCAACTTATGGCGGGTGATAAGTGCCATAATATTTGTCACACATTATTTAACTTCAAGTCTTCCTACAATTGTAGCATGGTGTTATATTTTGGTGTTCCAAGAAAATTGGGTGTCTTGTCACGATCATAATCTGAATTTGGAAGGGGCGCGGTTAAGAAATAAAATGGCTGGTCTGCAGTGGCCTCATTGTCTTGAATGGTGTAAAAGACACTTAGCAGTTCTTGAGGCATCCATGAGCGAATATCCATTATCTCCAGACTCTTGGGAATCTTTAAAAATTAGACTGGAAGTGGTCTATCGGGAATTGGCATGCCTCGATTTACTAGGAGATTTCGATGACAACGAATCACAAGCCTTAAAACTGATTGGGGAGGCCCTGGCATTGCTGGAATCGAGGATGAACAGTATACACGGTACGCAAGAGTTGTCACTTTATAACACTCCCATTCTTTACGATGGGACTATTGGTAGGCCCAGGTATGACATACGTCGTGAACAGCTGGAGTTTTTACTTTCAAAAAGGTTTACAGTGACTGCTGTGGCAGCCCTTCTAAATGTGTCGGTCAGAACTGTTCGACGTAGAATGGAAGACAATGGACTCTATGTACGCAGTCTATACTCAACTTTGTCGAATGATGAATTAGATTCGGTTGTCATTAGCATACAAAGCAGATTTGGCTTGTGTGTAACCGACAGATGATG